AAATTATTTAATAAAATAAATAAAAATCCGTTTGTACACAATTAAAATTGTAACCCAAACTAACATTTTTTAATAAAAAACGAAAGTAAAAAATAAACCAAAATATTTAATTAACTGACACCGGCCGGAATGGTATTAGATAAAACGTGTTCAACTCGATAGTTTATTCGTATTGTAACAAATTTACAAAGAATAACCTTTCATAAAACTGTAATCACTTATGACGAATATACAATTTGAATTTCAAAACAAAACTATCAAGGGTTGTGGATTAAAGCGTTGATAAAATTTTCTTAAAAACCTTTAACCGGGTTCATGTACATTTAATCTTGAGAGGCATTAATGCAATATGAAATACGCCATTTGAGTTCAAATATACCATTAAAGCTGACGCAATTGACAGGAAATAATACGCCGTATTCCCCAAATAGGTTTGAAGTAAGATAATAGAGTGAGTGGTTTACGTTAAGGAGACGTTTATGAAAGTCTAATTGATAAAAAAACAAAACACCACAAAAATACTATGCAACTACAAATTATAAGAATAGAGGTTTCAAATAAATCACCTGATCTAAAATATTACTAGAATAAGTGACTTCAACTGAAACCATCACTGAGAAAAACTGCCAATATTTTGGAAGCAGAAAGGCAAAATAATTTCTACGGTTTTCAATCAAATACGTATTAACGATTGTTTATAATGAATGAGAAAACAAAAGTGTGTAAACATGCAAAAGTTATATGTACTTACATTGGAAGTATTCGACGATTACTTCTCCAGTCGACCATTTCACAGATTTTCTCCATCGCTTGCAAACAGCCCGAGGTCGACTCGTTTGCGACCAATACGGCGCTGTAGAAACCAGACCACCGCCGTTTATCCTCTCCTCATATTTTATAGCGTCAGCAGCTGGTGAAGGGTAGCACAGTTCAACCCTCAGATATAATTCCAAATCTGTGGGTGAAATAAGAGCAGAGGATGAAGGCAACTACCATAATATCGGGTCTAGTAGGGTTACACGTGCAATTTTGACATGACCAAGGTGAACGGAAACAGAAAAATTTCAAGAATATTTCATTTAATGGGGGAATAATGGGCAAACCTGCAGCTAGAGATAAATGTAATTATGGTAAGTTACAGTAGTGGTCAATGCTTGGTGTTGAAGTTTGATTGAGGATGATTATGTCGAAAACCGAGTAAATAAAAGTCGTTGATGGCAAAGACATTGGTGGATACAATTGGAATGAAAACGAAAAATAATTTAACTCTGCTCTTGGCCAGTATAAATGGCATTACTTCCCCAAACTAAGCAGACAACAATGATCGAATAATTGTTAAATACTAGATTACATAAACACAAACGCTATAGTTCATTAGTCAAAAGTGCTCCGCCAAGGTGAGAAATGCAGCTGTCCAGAAACATCCTGCGTTCATGGATAGCACTGTGTGTCGTTTGTTTGTTGTTCAGGAACATCAAACTCGACTTTCTTGGAGAAATACCAGCGAAAACCTCATGGTGTATAGCAGCTCAAACTTTCTCGTATTATTTGCAAAAGTTGCGTGTTATTATAATTCTACTTCAATCTGCAAAAGTGTTTCCAAACCACAAAATCATTTGTGCGGGCTAGTATTTGAACATACGCGCACGGGATATGTGATCACAGCTCATCCATTACATCGCTAGCGGAGATCAAGTATGCAAACGCTTTCGACAAATCAAATAAAAACATAAACATTAGAAATTTTCAAAATTTCAAAGGTACAAAAGATACATAATTTAAAACAAACTTTGTTGTATTTGAGCAAAAACTACCGTTAAAGTCGTAGACTTCCGCGGCCAGAGTCATGTGCGTGATCTGGGCTGCCGACGTTTTGGCCATCTTGTCGTGGTCTTCCTCAGGGCTGGTCATACCAGCCAACGTCGGCGACACAGCCTTCGACGCGGCGTCACCCGGACAGCCCAGACCACGTAATAAACTACCGCTGGTTAGCGCAGACAAGGCCTGGCCTCGCTTGCTAGCAGCGCAAGCAAGCGAGGAGAATGCAGCTGAGCGAGCGTGACCCTACACGCGATGAAACGCCACAACGCAATGGTCAATCGCCTGCATCGAGCAATAAACTGGAAACCCGTTCGCATTAATATCGTAATTTTGTAGATTGCCATCGGTCGTAAATTTACTCATTGCCGGTAATACATCTAGTCAATAAAAGAGGGGGGTGTTAATGAGAGATTTTTAAATCATGTTTCTTTTTTTGGTGGAATATATTTTAGTTCGTAGAAATTTATGAGGTTTTTCAAGGGATTTATAACATTCAAGATAAATTGTTTAATGAATCGCCTTCAATCGAATATTTTTTCATGTGTTGTCGTGTTCCTGATTAAACAGATGTCTAGTGATATGAAAACGGAAGAATATTGTGATTATAGAACACCTTTTTAAAGTAGAAAAATATGTATATGTTTTCACATTTTAATTACTCTTTCTGAACTTAAATATTGAAGTTTTAATTTTATTATATTTTGAATCTCATAAGTATTTTAATACACAACGGTTACAAGTAATAAGTAAATTACAAATGAGTCTAGCGACATTAATAAACGTGAACCGTTTGCACCTGCCACACTAGATAAGTAAATTCCTAAGGTAACAGAAGAAAATTTAATGCTTTAAAAGTGTCCTTGAAACAGAAAAGTTTAGGAAACATTTAACACGGTTGCTCCTCTGTCAGACTGAGTAACTAAACTATATAGTACTGTGAGAGCTTTCTGAAATCAATAATAAAATGTCTCATAAATGGGCATTGGCTACCACGTGCAGAAAACTAAGTTACGACAAATTGTCCACTCAAATAGCCTCCAGTACAGCTGTTGGTGTCAAAGGGAAAACAAACTAGCCAAGTTTGTAGCGTTCTTTCCACGGTGCTGGACTGTGGAATACCGTTTGATGAAACAAGAATTCCGAGAACTTTAGGCATGAGCAGGCCACACTTGTTTCAAAAATTCCATAGCACGATCATTCAGTTTGTAAAGAATAATTACAGCGATGTTGGAATTTTCTGTTAAAGCTCAAAGCTGTAAACGGAAACAAGTCAGCGAGTGGCGTTTCTTGGTACTCGTGGACCCGGAAACTCTAGGAGCAGGCTTAGCCAGAGCGGAGCGTCTCGCAACTGCCGGTGTCTTCAGTCATCAACAGAAATAAGTCAAAACATACCATTCAGGTTGGGAATTGATTTAACGCTGAGTAGCAAATTCTAACATTTTTGGTATCAATGTGACTCATTTTTCTTGCGTTGAACTCTCTGAGAAAATATCCAGAAGTTTATCAAAAGTTAATCTTTAGATCAGAATTTATGGAAATAAAATATCTTGTTCAATTCGAGCAGTTGTAGCTAACAAGGGACTTCCATTGTACGGCGGTGGGTTTGGCAGACATGTAAAACAAGATGTCGATGCACTGATTTACTTCACGGTATTGCGATAAACTGGCTCCAGACGAAACAAAATTCATTCAGGGAGATTATTTTCATTACTTTCTAGCGTACTACACACGAGAAACGGCAATTTTTCAGTTGATAAAAAAGAATCGTATGGTTGAACCCCAATTCCGGATATTTTTCCTGCACATGCAGTAAATTACTTCCTCTAACAATTTGTGTAGTCATAATCCATGCTTTGTAGGTCCTAAATATCTAAATATTGGCGAACGGCAAAACGTTTGTTCGGCTGTGCGCAACCGTAAGCACGATTTTCACTAAAATTGGTATTCCCGAATAGATATAGCTAAAGTTGTGGTTCCTTGAATTAGAAACATATTTTAATTTTGGGAGGTATTGGTTTGGTTGATATACGAACCCCCAAGTACATTATATATTTTTTTAATTTTTCCAAATATTTTTTTTGCACTCGTGTAGAGCAAGTACGATTATAACAATGAAGCAGGTCCCATTTTCGTTGAATTCTCCAAGCGCAAACCTTCCGGAAAGCTTCGTTCCCGCACATCCCTCCGTTCCTTCGTCGCAGGCAATGACCTGATTCCTCCGCCATCGGAACCGGAAACCTCGTTACCCTCGTTGCGTCCGCGGGGCGAGTGGAATGGCGCCGCGCGCGGAGGGCGGAAATTCGCAGTCGCCGGGCGCAACACGTAAAGCAGCGCGTGCCGCCCATTCGGAGCGCGCGCCCGCCGGCACTCGCCCTGCGCCAATGAAAGATTCACGCGGCGCGGGACCCCACAGGTGGGGAACAGGTGGAGCACGGGCCTGGCAAAATCCCTGCGTGCGGTGAGGCACGTTGGGCCGAACAGGCCGTTAAGGTCCGAGGAAGGTGGTAAATAATAAATTATCGTAAATGGGTAACGCCTATTATTTCAAACGCCTAGTTTTTAAGCCCTGCCCCCAGTAAAAGAGGTTAATTTTGGGCATGCAAAACGTGCTAAAATTCAAGCTTTGATCACAAGTGCTAAAAAGTCAGACGATGCTCAAATGTTCTGATAAATTTGTGAATACAACAAAGAAAACAAATACTTTGGTCAGAATGCATCTGATGCACTGATCTTAACATATCTATTTGTATGCTTGAATTAAAATAATATGAATGCCAGAAAGTCTGCTTAAAAAATGTATGAAACAGGTGGTAAAAATATTTATATTTTTTTCATAGAATTGAGTCATTTTACCTACCGGCCCCGTGTCACAACATTTCCCACTCGCAAAATAAAATGCCAATTTTACCACTTAAATTATAAACACTATATTTGATAAGTATAAAGAAATTAATTCTTTAAGAGATGGAACTGTAAATTGCAAAGGACAAGCAATTGTAGCATTAAACTAAAATTATTAGCAATTTCTTGAATAATTTAATGACAATGTTAAATCGTGAAATAAAAATTGTATATATTCGTAATATTTTATTTCGAAAATAATTTAATAACAAACAATAAATTGTTTCAAATTCAATTTGTAAGTTTTATTAAAAGAGCAAATTACCAGTAAAATTCATTTATTGGTTGTATTACTTGCTTCATAATTCTAGATAATGCAAGCTCATAAACGAGTCTACCTAAAACTCGATTTTAGTGAGTCCATTAAAACAGGATGAACGAATAACATGTTGCATTAAATTCATTAACACAAACATTCTTCGCGTTTTTCGTCTATACTACACACGTTTTTTGTCCGGAGCCCCGACAGAGGCAGAGGCGAAAGGCGCGGAAGGGGGAAGCAGCCCGCTTCGCCAGGCACGCGGCAACGAGAACAGCAACGAGAACTTACAACTCTGCATTAATGCTGGCAAAACATCCAGTAGCCCATTCGTAAGTTACTTAAGGATTGTCCTCAGAAAAGAGCAGATTAAAAACAGTCCAGGGCAGCAAAAGTTTTACATGCGCAATGGGTTTGAACAAAACGCTCGCTTTGAAATCACTGAAAATACAATATGAGTGTTTTTGCCGACAGACGGCCAAACTTGCAAAGGCAGCAGTGTAGCGGGAGTTCTCAGACTAACGCGATGGTTCTAAAACGGGAAGCTTGGGTCAGCAACTGTCATGACCAAGCTGCAAACTGATCCCAGCATACGCATTGGTATTTTATTAAAATATATTTATTATTTATTTAATTATTTTAATGCCAATTTACATTTTAAATCAAATTAATCAAATTTCATTAGATATTTAAACTTTTTTGAACTTACAAAAAGGGTCTAGCCGGTAAAAATAATTAAATACAGTAAACGTGTGTACAAGGATTGTGATCCAAAACAAATTTATTTCAGTCGTTTCCTATCCCCACAACCTGATCAAAAACGTAGTTTTTCACTTTAATTTTTAAAGTATTTAGTCTTCGTAACTTTTTAGAAAATATTTCACATTAATTAACAAAATATTATTTCAAAATCTCATTGTATAAAGTATTATATATTTTTTTAAATTTTAATAACTTAAACTGAACGTTTTCTTGCTACCCTTCATAAC